GTGAGTGAGTGAGTGAGTGAGTGAGTGTGTGTGTGTGTGTGTGTGTGTGTGAGTGTGTGAGTGAGTGAGTGAGTGAGTGTTCCTGCTTTCAATGATGCGGCCTGCTAAACTCCAGCTTGATTTGGCCTGTTTGGAGCAGCACAGAACAGAGTTTTATGAAAAACTTTCAAGAACATGTTCAGATTGAAAATAATTTAAAAGTTTTTGGGGTGTTTTCATTTTGCAGTATTGTGCAATTTTTATGCTTAGTATAATGCAGAAAAACTGATTTTGTTGCAATGTGGAGTTTCATACATTGTTAGTACTGCATTTATGCTGACTAATTAATAAATTCTTTCTTTGCGTGAACATTTGGGCGGCGTTATGCAAATCTTCCCACATCGTGACGTAGACATGTGGGGGCGTGTTAGAACGAGCCATTTTAGGTAGGCGTGGTTGACTCTTACCGTTTATAAAGAATATCTCTTTAGATTTGAGACTTTAGTCTTTGCAACTTTACAGATCTTCTTTATGCATCAAGAGCTTGTAACACTCCAAAGAGAAAGGAACAATTTTAATCGCATCATATGACCCCTTTAAAGAAAGTGAAACCTTTAATTTTTTCAATGTGGAATTTCATACATTTGTTAGTACTGCTGACTTTATGTTGACTTTAATGAAATACATATATGCATTGCAATTATTGTGTGTCAGTGTTGTTTTTAGTGTTGTGTAGAATTTAGTTCCTCAACATCAGTCAGCTGTTAGTCTTAAGATGTGCTGGTAATACCATGGTATTTTGATTTGTACCATGTTACTAAATGGGATGGAGCAGCACAGAGCAGAATTTACATGCATGTGAGTTTTACAAACAAAATAAAAATTTTAAGAAAGTGTTCTGTTTAGAAATTAATTACTTACAATAAATGAAACCTTACTTTTTTGCTTTGTGTTTTTTTTTTTTTTTTTTTTGCTTTGACAATTTTCATGCCATTCTTATTACTATGCAAAATATTTTCATTATTGTAATGTGGAATTTCATACATTGTTAGTACTGCATTTATGCTGAGTTTAATTAATGAAATAAATCAATGCATTGTAATTATTGTGTGTGTCAGTGTTTGTTGTCTTCAGAGTCAGGCAGAATTTAGTACTGTGGTAATACCATGGTACAGTGATGGTATCAGATGGTAATACTATAAAGTACCAAAGATATATACCATGGTACTGAATGAGATGAAGCAGTGCAGAACAGAGTTTAGATGCATGTGAGTTTTGCAAAAAGCTTTCAAGAACAATTTTTTTTTTTAAAGATAATGAAGCCTGGCCAGTTTTGCATTGAGAATTTCCATGCCATTCTCATTAATATAATGCAAAAAAACTGTCTTTCATTATTGTAATCTGGATTTTCATACATTGTTTGTACTGCTGACTTTATGCTGTTTAATTAATGAAATGCATCAATGCATTGAAGTTATTGTGTGTCAGTGTTTGTTGTCTTTAGTGTTATGGAGAATTTAGTTCCTCAGTTTCATTCAGCTGTTAGCCTTACGAAGACGTACTGTGGTAATACCATGGTACAGTGATGCTATCAGATGTAGTACCATGGTATTTTGATTTATACCATGATACTGAATGATTAACCTATTGGTATGCCATGATATTTGCATGGTATGTCAAGTAATACCACCATACTACCATTAAATATTTGCATTTGTCAGTGTAGTAAATGCAAAACCGAGACACAGACGCAATTCATCAAGACATATGAAAATATTTTACTTATTTTTGTATGATTATTATTTATGTAAGCTAGAAGACCAGTTCATTTGCAAGTCAAAATGTATTTTTTAATCACTAATAGATCGAGTGTGAAGTTTTCCTTCAGTTCTCTATCGCCATCTGCTGGGTTGAAGGTGATACAGTATGAATTAAGATGATTTATTAGAAATATTTATTTTCCTTTTCCCGTTTTCAGGATTATCTTGTGCACATCATTGACACCAGGGACCTTCCCATCAAACCAGAGCAAGTGTGTTTGCTGTTTGGGAATATTGAACACATTTACGAGTTCAACAGGTAAGATTCAACCATAATGACTTACTATGCATTTGACATGCTTTTATGCAATGCACGCATATATATATATACACATGTACAGCAGAATTGGCTGCTAAAAAATTAGGTTGCACTGGGATATGAAAGTCATGTAATGTCATTTAGAGAGCTGATAACTCAACCACACATGCAAAAGCATATTCAGACACCATCAATGAATTTATTCAGGACTGATCTACTGTTTAAACATTGTATTTATTCATGCAAATGAGGAAGCAGCAGCTGTCAAGTGTCCAATGTTCTCTGGCTTTAGATGTGGGACGTAAATAAACATGGTGGTTTGTTTTTGGTCAAGAGCCGGGCACATCGGTACACATGCTCACCTAATGCTCTTCACCAGTGTGTTTGAGCAGTTGCTATTTAACAGGGCGTGCTGACTAGTGCTGTAGGTCTTTAGAGGAATAGTTCATCCAAAAATGATGGTTTGCTGAAAAAGTGCTCACCCTCAGGCCATACAAGATAAGGATGAGTTTGTGTCTTCATCAGATTTGGAGAAATGTAGCACTCCATCACTGTCTCAGCAGTGGATGCTCTGCAGTGAATGGATGCCGTCAGAATGAGAGTCCAAACAGCTGATAAAAACATCACAATAATCCACAAGTAATCCACACCACTCCAGTGTATCAGTTAACATCTGGAGAATACAAAAGCTGTGTGTTTGTAAGAAACAAATCCATTATTAATATGTTTTTGTAACGTCAAACAATTGCTTCTGAACAAAACACGAGTCCATAATCCATAATAACGCTTCCTCCAGTGAAAAAGTG